AGGGCTCTTTTCCAGTTCCCCCCTTCAAAATACCGAGTTTTATGTTTGTTTTACGTGTTATTACGGCTATATGCGTGATGTTACGCTGTAAAGTAAGAAGAACAAACCTGTTCAGAATTGTCGATTTGTTGACCACGCCAAATTTCATTGCATTGTGACAACGTTAAATAGACTTTTCAAAATTGAATTTGAAAGGTGGGAAACTGGAAAAGAGCCCAAAAAAGTGCATGATTAAAGCAATGTCGGTCGCAAGATTTGTATGCGTCATCCCAGGGACCAACCAGCCTCATCGTAGACCGCCTCTAGGCTCATCAGATCTGCCTTGACTTAAAGATTATCGGTTTAGACCTTGACACCGCAGTCATCAGCACCCGATGAGTCACCTGGGACCACACATACAAATTTTGCGCACGAGGTTGCTTCAATCATGCACGTGTTTGAGACCCAATTTTAACAAGAAGAACTTCAACATCAACCACGCCCCTTCGGTATTTTTATTTTCTCACGCAGATTGAGGCAGGCAGTCACGTATCATCACGCGCAGAATCAGAAATCTAACTTCTATCACCAAATTTAATCACCACACGACTTTTCGCTTTGAACGCAACCAAGAAAAATCAACAAAAATTGTAGCTACTCTTGTTTTATACGAAAAGATAAGGCCAAACTTCTGCTTGTAATCATTCGATTTCCTGCAGCAATACTTAAATGAAAAACTACATGAACTAAATATGTGAAGCCCCCTTCATTTGCGAACACTTAACTAGCTTACACAATGACGATTCGATCCTTCAATTTATGGAGAATAAGAAGAGCTTTCAGAACAATGTCAGCTTCGCAGAACTAAACTGGTCAGTTTCAGATCATTAATTAATATAACGCAATAAATCTTTTTCCTTTCACCCCACCTGCTAAAATTTACTATTGAAACTTTGTTCATGTTATCCGAATCATACAAAAATTGGCGGCTCTTTTCCAGTCCCCCCCCTTCGAATTCAATTTTGAAAAGTCTATTTAACGTTGTCATAATGATATGAAATTTGGCGTGGTGAACAAATCGACAACTGTGAACATATTTGTTCTTCATACTTTACAGCGTAACATCACGCATTTAGCCGTAATACCACGTAAATCAAACATAAAACTCGGTATTTTGAAAAGGGGGGGGGGAACTGGAAAAGAGCCAAATTGGCATGTGCACTAATTTGGCCATGACAAACATAATTGGTCTTCATGTTTAACCTTGTAAAATCCTTCGCTACAACATAAAATTGATGCTTATGTGAGGTGGGGGAAAAGGAAAAAGAGCCCGCAGTATAACTTACCGATTCGCTTGCGTATTAAGCCGTAACTCAAATTTCGGGGATGCCTTTAACTTCGCACCCCTAACATTAAATGAATAACTATCGTTACTAGGTTTAAATATTCGCGTTTGATTAAGCAATTAAATAGGGCTAGCGAGTAACGTAAGATTATTGAGCGTAAGAATCCCTTATATAAAAAATATATATAAAAAACAGCGAGATGAATGCAACTAACAATAAACGGGGGCAACTAACAACGCCTTTTAAAAAAAAATTGAACGATAGAAATAATTTCAAATTAAAGATTGCAACCCCTGAGGTTACCCTGACAGCCTGACTTTGTGAATCTTCTTAAGAATTCGCAACACCTGGGGGAATTCTGCAAGCAAATCAATGTTGGGTCTTTACAATAATAAACAAAGATGTCAAACTGGAAAATTGAAAAAACTTCTTCGGCCTTGCATTATACGGTATAGCTCAAAGGCGAAAAATTCTTTTGTTAAAACTGCTAAATAATACCTTGAAAAAGCTTAAACCTAGCCAAGAGACAGTTGGAAAAAAGTCATGAACGCGAGAAAACAAAAAAAAAACATTGACTTGTTTCTGCAAAAAACTTCAATTTTTGGATTTCAAAGAAAAAACGTGTCCTTAATGCTCTTTAAATTTCAAAAACAATTTATGATTGACACTGGTTTGATAAAATTAACCCAATTTGAGATAACTGGATCAATGATTAAAAATTTCATTTTGATGGGAAAACTCAAAATTCAATTCTTCTTTTAAAATTGAAAAGAAAAATTGGGACCTATATAAGATCTGAGCTACGTTCATCAACTCTTAAACATGGCGAGATAGTAAAGTCCGAAATAAAATATTTTTACACAGAAGTTAAGTTGCACTTCGCATACACAAACAAAATTATGACCGATAGCGGTACTGGGAAAAACTGAAGGAGTAAAACTTTGAGTCTACAAAGTTTCTTAATTGACGCACGCCACTTATGAGTGTACATAATTGCTAAGTGACGCCAGCCAATTATGACGCATTAGCAGTACCCGTCAATTAAAAAAAAATTTACCAAGTATTGTGCCTCAATTTATAGAGCGGACGCATTTAAGCTAGTATACGAAAAATTTCATTAAAAACATCCGAACCTACCCAGCTTCGAACCCTCTTATTTTGTTGCTGTTCTCATTCGCTACCTCTACGCTAACAGCTCCATGATACCTTGAAGCTAAAGTGCTATTTGTAATATAATAGTCTGTGTTAATATCCTTAGCACTGGCTGTAGTTAAAAGCTGGTAGTTGATCAAAATGAACAAAATTTTGGTCGGGAAAAAAGAAAGTTCATAACATAACACAAGCTTTGCTTGTGTAAATAGATTTTCCGATATGTATATTCTTTACTGCGTGCTATGCAGAGGGGAAAAAAGAGGTGCAACCTTTGTTCTAGGTACACATCAATTGCCTTTTCTTTTGGTGTGACAATAAAAGGTTGACCTATTGGCCTTAAAACCATCCACTTAATTCCGTTGTACGGAAAAAAAACAAGATTCCCGTACTCTTCTATTCTAAATTGCCTGGAAAATAAATTATTGGAATGTTAATCGCATATATAGCACAATCAGAATACATCAAAATAAAATATTGGGGATATATAAATCGAATATTATTGGGAATCGAAATAGCATGATTGTAAGATTATGGAACAATGCATTAAACAAAAAAATTAAATAGCACAATCATTTTACAGTTTAAGTCGTTTTGATGATAGCGAATATATACATTTTAGCCTGATTAGTCAGAACAGAATACATACAGTTAGAGTACACAACAAAACTTCGTACCTTACCAGGAGACGAACACAGGAGTTATGTTCAATTTACCCTAAGCCTTTCTAGGGTCTTCATGTTTAACCTTGTAAAATCCTCCGTTACAACATAAAATTGATGCTTATGTGAGGTGGGGGAAAAGGAAAAAGAGCCCGCAGTATAACTTACCGATTCGCTTGCTTATTAAGCCGTAACTCAAATTTCGGGGAGGCCTTTAACTTCGCTTCCCTAACATTAAATGAATAACTATCGTTACTAGGTTTAAATATTCGCGTTTGATGAAGCAATTAAATAGGGCTAGCAAGTAACGTAAAATTAACGAGCGTAAGAATCCCTTATATGAAAAATATATAAAAAAAACAGCGAGATGAATGCAACTAACAATGAACGGGGGCAACTAACAACGCCTTTTTAAAAAAAATTGAACGATCGAAATAATTTCAACTTAAAGATTTCAACCCCTGAGATTACCCTGACAGCCTGATTTTGTGAATCTTCTTAAGAATTCGCAACACCTGGGGGAATTCTGCAAGCAAATCAATGTTGGGTCTTTACAATAAAAAACAAAGATGTCAAACTGGAAAATCGAAAAAACTTCTTCGGCCTTGCATTATACGGTATAGCTCAAAGGCGAAAAATTCTTTTGTTAAACATGCTAAATAATACCTTGAAAAAGCTTAAAACTAGCCAAGAGACAGTTGGAAAAAAGTCATGAACGCGAGAAAACAAAAAAAACATTGACTTGTTTCTGAAAAAACTTCCAATTTTTGGATTTCAAAGAAAAATTGTGTCCTTAATGCTCTTTAAATTTCAAAAACAATTTATGATTGACACTGGTTTGATAAAATTAACCCAATTTGAGAAAACTGGATCAATGATTAAAAGTTTCATTTTGATGGGAAAACTTAAAATTCAATTCTTCTTTTAAAAAAAGAAGTCCACCACATTTTTAATGACCTTTACATTATTGTTGCTCGATAGTGGAGTTTGCATTCCTTTCAAGAAAAAAAATAACTGAACTTGAAAAGAAATGAAACGTCCAACAGCGAAAAAGTAAGTTTTAGCCTGAACAAATCTTAAAAATTTTCCTGAAAAGAAAAATTGGGACCTATATAAGATCTGAGCTACGTTCATCAACTCTTAAACATGGCGAGATAGTAAAGCCCGAAATAAAATATATACACAGAGGTTAAGTTGCACTTCGCATACACAAACAAAATTATGACCGATAGCGGTACTGGGAAAAACTGAAGGAGCAAAACTTTGAGTCTACAAAATTTCTTAATTGACGCACGCCACTTATGAGTGTACATAATTGCTAAGTGACGCAAGCCAATTATGACGCATTAGCAGTACCCGTCAATTAAAAAATTTTTTACCAACTAGTGTGCCTCAATTTATAAAGCGGACGCATTTTAGCTAGTATACGAAAAATTTCATTAAAAACATCCGAACCTACCCAGGTTCGAACCCTCTTATTTTGTTGCTGTTCTCATTCGCTACCTCTACGCTAACAGCTCCATGATACCTTGAAGCTAAAGTGCTATTTGTAATATAATAGTCTGTGTTAATATCCTTAGCACTGGCTGTAGTTAAAAGCTGGTAGTTGATCAAAATGAACAAAATTTTGGTCGGGAAAAAAGAAAGTTCATAACATAACACAAGCTTTGCTTGTGTAAATAGATTTTCCGATATGTATATTCTTTACTGCGTGCTATGCAGAGGGGAAAAAAGAGGTGCAACCTTTGTTCTAGGTACACATCAATTGCCTTTTCTTTTGGTGTGACAATAAAAGATTGACCTATTGGCCTTAAAACCATCCACTTAATTCCGTTGTACGGAAAAAAAAAACAAAATTCCCGTACTCTTCTATTCTAAATTGCGTGGAAAATAAATTATTGGAATGTTAATCGCATATATAGCACAATCAGAATACATCAAAATAAAATATTGGGGATATATAAATCGAATAATATTGGGAATCGAAATAGCATGATTGCAAGATTATGGAACAATGCATTAAACAAAAAAATTAAATAGCACAATCATTTTACAGTTTAAGTCGTTTTGATGATAGCGAATATATACATTTTAACCTGATTAGTCAGAATAGAATACATACAGTTAGAGTACACAACAAAACTTCGTACCTTACCAGGAGACGAACACAGGAGTTATGTTCAATTTACCCTAAGCCTTTCTAGTCCATCTTTGCTCAGAAAATATTTTTCTTTGTATTTTTCTCTCTACCATAATTAGACTAAATTTTAAATTATGATGTTTTACTTAGAAATAGGACGCTAATTTTAAGGACGCTAATTTTACGCGGAGGCAAAGCAGCGCTTTGCAAACACTAGCGAGAAAACGACAAAAAAGCAGCTCTATTAAAGTGAAGTAGAGAAAAGGATAAAACAAACATTTGAAATATTCTGATGTGACGGATTCGATCCTACCACTAGGAGATTTAGAGTCCCCTGTTCTCGCATCTGCGCCACGGCTCGCTAGTGAAAATACCGGGAAGTATAACGGATTCGAATAGCGCCAATATTCTCATTCATTATCGAAGATATAAATAGAGAAAGCTGAACTATTAGTATCAGCGATCGGTTTCAATAGCTGGCTCAATGGTCGACAGTCTAACATAAGACATATCCAATTACACAAATTGAGAATTTCGCATTCAGGTTGCAACAGTTAGATCCAGGACGGCCACAAATTGAAATCAAGCGCCATTAAATTAATCTACATTGGCAATAAATAGAGGGTTTGCCTGTTGGAATGTTGTGATCTTGATGTGACCACGATCATCTCGAAGAACATGCACAACAGGCGAGGCAAGCGCAGAAAGACATTCATATATGATCTACATTGTCTTCGTACCATGTGATCATGTTCACGTGTGGTGTCAAGGTGGACATGCAGCTATCTTCAGGTTCGCTTCAGATAGAGCAGTGGCAGTGGCGTCTACAAGGAAGGGGTTGATGTCAGCCTCTAGTCGTTGCTCCTCCACTGAATTGAAGATCAACACCTAAATAACACTGCACTGCATCACATGACTTCAATCGATGGCAATTACAAATTCACAGCAATCAAGTTAATGATTATTTGAGACAACTGTAATTATATGTAGAGCAATTCTGACCTGTGCATCTCCGAACTGATCCTTGTTGGGTCCGTAGACGATCCTCGAGTTGTGCAGTGTCGTCATAATCTTGGTGTACCTCTCCTGCTGTCCATGTTGCATTAGGAAATTATCCACCAACCAGAACATCAAAGCCTGCATTAATAAACAAATATGATATTATAGCCATCGTTTTCCCCCATTGGAGCAGAGTTCTAGGTCTGATTGTCTGTAAACGAACGGAGACGAACTGTCTATTTACAAGCAAAAGCAAAGAAAAAATGCGTATAACACCAGTATATTACTGTAGTTCTTATAAAAATGTAGATGCGGACCATGTTGAACCATCCACTCTAAATACCTAAACCATCACCCCAAAAAATGAAAACGACACATTTAAGCAGTCAGTCAACACTCAAAGCGCTGAATTGACATTGGCTGAAAAAAAATCTTTTAATAAAGTTAACGATATCCTCCCTAAATTGACAAGAGTGGCATGGTGGCGCTCCGGTAGTGATGGTACCCAGCAGTCATATGATTGATAGTTCAAATCACACGTGCGCTGCAATTTACAAGGTGAGCTTTTGTAAGTAATTCATAGCTTACTATGAGCGCTCGTTATATGCGCTCTTTGTCAACTTAAATAATTTACCTTCGCTCCGGGCTGGTTGGCCAAAAAAAGAATTTACTGAAATTTGACCTTTGAGAAAAACAAACAAATAAAGCTAACGTTTACTGTAAAGGGTATGATGAGCATGGTGACAATGAGCTCTAAGTCCGGCGAGTCAGAGAACGGCAGTAGCAGCAGATCACGTATCTAAACGGAAAAAAAATTATATATATATGCAGCCGCTCATTATTAAGTTAATTAGACGGAGGATACGGACTCAAATTTAATTGCAACATGAGAAGATTAAAAAAATGAGAAGCTTGTTTCTTCAAATACGTTTTGTGTTCACTTGGCAGTGGCTAGGTATGATCGTTTGGCAGCATATAAACCAACCGAAATAACAACCGGCTACCATAAATGCAACCGAAAATACTGACTTGATTACCTTGTGCCAGAAGTGAGGTATCATGAAGAGGGCTATTGATAATTTCTCCACGCACAGCACAACAAGATAGACAGCGAACTGCGACAACCACGCCCTCACTTGCTCCGAAGTGGTGTGGCCTACAATACAGTACTGCTACACTAGGAGGATCGAATCAAGATCAAGGTTCAAATCATTCACAAAAGTTAGAACTCACACAGTGACTAAGCACCAATTGCGATACAACACAAAACATAGCCCAGTAAAATAGTCAAAAAAGTTGACACGGAGCATTTGAGAAAAAATTGTAACAGCGGCGAAGCTGCGCTTCGCAAAGACCAGCAAGAAAACGACAAAAAGTAGTTCTATAAAGTGAATTACTAAAAAACTAAAAATAAACCTTGAAAAAAAACTTGTTGTGGCAAAATTAATCATATGACCATAAAAATTAGGAGTCCCCTATCCTCATATCTGCGCCACAAGAACTTGACAATTTGCTAACACTAGTCACAAATAAAGCAGCTATATATGCTAATAAAATGCAAATGCGATACAGCAAAAAAGGCACCAAATATATATAAACTATTTTGCACGTAATAATTTGGAACAGAACAAACGGCATCTACACTAATTTTGCATGTGTATATTACTTACCACTTATCTTAATATTAACTTATCAACTTATTACTTATCGGATGTCAAAGCACATGTATCAAAAGGGTGCCCCAAAAGAAAGCACCGATATTTGCGACTTAGGTTGGATAAAAAGAACAGTCGTATTATTACACTACACTCGCTAAAGCTAGCAGCTGCAATTAACAAGGATGCAGCTGAAAGTTTTGCAACCCTAGCCTCAAAAAATTTAATTTGAGACAAGGTCAAAAATGACAATTGGTAGCGTTAAAGTAACATTGAAACAAAACTTATTAAGCATCAAATAAGCCGACAGAAACAGGGCAGATCCAATATACTCAAGAATTTATTATACTTAAGCTAAGTTGCTCTTCGCAAGCATTAGCGAGAAAACGATAAAAAAATAGCACTGTAAAGAAATAAGAAAAAGTAAAAGAAAGCCTCAAAAAAACATTTAATTTCTTGAAATTCTGCTGTGGCCGAATCGATCCTACGACCAAGAGAATTAGAGTACACTGTCCTCGCATCTGAACTACAAGCCCTTGAAAATTTGCTAACACTAGCCAAAAATAAAAAAAAAGCTATATATTCTAACAGAGGCGAAGCTGCGCTTCGAAAACACTTGCGAAAACAGGACCAAAAAGCAGCACTATGAAGTGAAAGAAGAAGTGGAAATAAGCCTCGAATTAGCAACAGCTCGGATATTGGTAGGATTCGAATCTGCTACCTACTACAATCAAGAGATTTTGATTCTCACACACTATCTATTCAGCCACGCAAGCTTAACATCCGACAAACACTAGTCACGAATAAAGCAACTACATATGCTAATAAATTGCCAATGCGATTCAAAAAAGTTGCACCAAATACAAATAGATTCAATTTTGCAAGTAATAATTTGGAATAGAACAAACTGAAGGCATCCACGCTAACTTTGCAAGTAACAAAGAATAAAGCCATATTTTATATAAATTATGCATTTCAAAAAATTGCAAGATATATTGAGTGAGAAAATTTCTGAAATCCAGCTTTCATTTTTGTAATTTTATTTGAAACAAATCACTTTTTTCGGTTCATTTGATGAATTACAATGCATCAACTTTGTTAACTTTTTACTAATCGAAGGTAAAAGCACATGCTATGAAAAAGCTGGAAAGGTGCCCTAAAAGTGGCACTTATATTTGCAACTTCGGTTGGAAAAAAAAGAAGGTTTGTACTAATACACTCGCTTCACATTAATAAATTGTCAATGCCATGGAGCAAAAGTGCCAAAAAACAAATAGACACAATTTTGCATGAAATAATTTGGAATACAATAAACTGCGCATCCGCACTAACTTTGAATATAATAAATTGAAATGCACAAAGCCAAATTATGTATAAATTATGCTCATGTCAACAAAACTGCGAGATGAATTGAGCCCAAAAACTTATTAAATCGAGTTTAAATTATTGTACCGCTTTTTTAAACAAATGGTTAAAATTCGGTTCATTTGATGAGTTAAAAATGCATCAACTGTGTTACTATTGGAACGTCAAAGCACATGCTGTCAAAAAGTTGCGAAGGTGCCCCAAAAGTGGCACCAATATTTGCTACTTAAGTTAGAAAAAAAGATAGGCGTACTATCACACTACGCTCGCTAAGGCACGCAGTGTAAACCTCATAGAAAATCGAGCTGAAACACACAAATAAAAATCCGTTTTTATTTACAAACTCTTAATTTTATGATTTATTTTTCCATAAAACTTCAGCCCAACTTCAACCCTTCCATTTTCGGATCTAGAAGACATTCACATTTTTCTAACGCCATTTGCACTATTTTTGACGAAGAGTGTAAATTACTTTCTAGTTAGCAATGAATTAGAATTGAACTTGTGTGGTTATTGGTCGTAGGCGAAGACAGCATCTGAACAAAAGCCTGGAACCTAGGCTCCAAAAAACTAAGAAAACAAAAAAAAAATTGGCAACAAGTTAAATTTTTTGAAAATTTTTCATTCCCAAGAAGGCACTAAAAAAAGTTCGAAAACTGATGTGAAAATAAGTTTTCATCGTTTAAGTTGAAGCTCAAAGCCTTAGTATAAGCCTGCTCGCTCGGTTTACTCTCAAGACTAAACACTTCCAACCCGCTTTTCTCGAAAGAGGAAACTTTTTGTAAAATTTCTAATATCGTTCGAATCACGACTAAAGGGCTTGCGATTAACTTTGATGATTATAAGGGTGATTATTTTTGGTACCTGAACTTTTGCGTGAAAAAAAACAAACCCATTCGAAGACAAACTTACTCCACACTTTCAGTCGTCGGAATAATAAATCACTTCGTTCATACTTAGTTAGCTCCGAAATGTCTCAAAACACTATTTGAAGCAAATAATTTATCCGCGATGAAAAGAACACTTAAGCGATTCAACTGTGATAGCCCATTCATAAATTCCCGGGCTCTTTTTTTTACAAGAAAAATGATATTTTTTCTTTGCAATAAATTTATGAAGAAAACACACAAGAAGAACTTTCAGGTTAGTTATAGCTTTCAATTGCGACATACCACCCTTATTATCAACATAAATCAAGACCCCGCCCTTTTATTCAACCCAAAACATTGATGTGGCGCAGGATCGGACACCCAGAAGGTAGGTTGTAAAAACATTATTGATAGGTTCTCCTCTCCTCAATGACATGTATTCGCTATATTCGATCGCAGTCGCTGTTGTCTCTAAGAATATCAGATTTTGATGGAGACGGAAGCTTGAAAAGAATCATACCTCGCCTACACTGTCGTCTTCCTACACTGTCTCAAACGCTCCGCCAGCAAAGAGTTCAAAAATATCATTGATGTTGTAGGAATATAATCAATACTGATTTGATTTTTATCTTTTCTTCAAATACCACTAGAATGCGACTAATATACTTGAAGCGAAGCCTCTGAGCAACGGAAATGCGGCATCTCGATAAATTTCATGTACTTTAATAACACATACCATATTGACCGAGGAGCAGTTGGTCCAAATGAGACCTGCGAGCTATGACCTGAGAAATGAACAGTCCCACGTAGATGACGAGGAGTCCCAGAGTCGAGTCAAGAAGGAAACTGATGATGTACCTACAAACATAAACATTTCGTGTCAGACTAGCTAACCGCTGCAAAATGTCATGAGTAAGGCTGAAGTGATCATTCGAGTTGATACGATTTTATTCAATTATTCAAGAGTTTCTTTGCAAACTATAAGACATTAGTTCGAAGATAATCATATACGGTATTATCACTCGTCGCAGTTTATTTACAGAAATGTTCATCTAATTCATTTTGGCATTCACATATTTTGCCCCTTCTGAAACTATTGGTACATTTCGCCCCACACACAATTCGCCCTCAAGTATATAAAGCGGCGATTGATTAACTAATAAATCAGGGGCAAATTGTGTGAGGACGAAATGTGTCAAATTATGAGGGATAAAAGTGTGAGGGGCGAAATGTGCCACAAAATTTCAGAGGGGCGAAATAAATGTGGTACCTAACGCCCACATTCGTTCAATTTATAGTCTTCTAAGGTTTTGAGTATATATAGATAAACAGATATCACTTTGATATCAGAAATAATACATAGCGCACAAACCATGTGCAGGGATCCCCGCTGTAATAACTAGAGGTGAAGATGTTGATAAAGTGGATCAGAGCGGCTCCTACTGCCTGCTTTGAAGTGTCGTAGAACCTAAAAGCCTTCAATTCAACAGCCCTGGTTACAAATTTGATAATTGGTTCCCAAATTTGATAATTGGTTCCCAAACGCCTTCAATTCAACAGCCCTGGTTACAAATTTGATAATTGGTTCCCTAGAACAGGCAAGAATGAAAGATTTGTTGCGCCATTTGCAAAATTAATTCAAAAACAAACCAGTGAAAAAATGCGCATGCTGTTTTCGAACATCATAAGTTCGTGTTCTATCTAATTTACGGGACCCAACTATCAGGCTTTAGTTCAATATTGACAAAATTGATTGCAAAATGAAACAGCATTCCAAATTTACTCACCAAATTTTCAAGTTTCTCCGAACATCAGGTGGTTCTCTAATTCTCTTTACTAAAACGAATAACAGCTGAAGATGGCGTCAGAGCAAGGAATGGAGAACGCTGTCAAATTTTCGCTTGAGTGAAATTTTATTAAAAGCAAATCAATACCGACGCTTTTGGTTTATTATAGGGGCGGGAAGGATCACTGGCGCAAGGTCTGTATTTTTTTCCTGCCAATTTTAATTATAAAATGAAGCTGGTACGGAGGCCAAGTTTTTCTTTTATTTTTTAAAATTTTCGTTTCAAATAATTGCAGTCGGTACTTTTTGTGCTATTTGCACATGAACCGATTACCTTTGTTTTGTACGCAACTCTGAGACAAACAAAACTAATTGAATAAACATCTTTTTTTTCAAATTTCAAGTTTCCTGAAAACATCAACGTATAACGTCCATGATTGCCAATTTTTTTCCATTCCCAATTTGAGAAACTGGATTACCAGGTTTGTTTTAAAATTATGCTGCGAAATCTTCAAACTCAAATCTCATTCTAAAACTATAACCTAACTCCATTGTTTTGCCCTATTTTGTATCGATCACTCACTCTCTAATTAAGATGCAGGGTCCGTTTTTGAATTTTCCCCAGCCAATTTCGACAACCTGAAGAAAAACTCATGTGGACGTCAAGCCTTATTGGCCGGGATTTGGATTCTTAGAAAATCAAAAAAAAAAATAGTTGCGAAAAAGCTGGTCTCACCATTTTTCATTTTTTGACTAAATTAGACGAAATTTAGTGAGAAGCTGACCTCCCTAATTTACTTCGCTGACATTACCGCTCATTCTTGTACTTTTCACCTAATTCAAACGCTCTTTCCAGAGAAAAAAAATTAAAGGAAATTTAGACACAGAGGCGAAGCTGAGCGTCTCACCTTTTACGATACAAAAATGAATGACTGTGGCAAAGATTAATTGAAAGCAAAAATCAAAAATTGAAGAAAAAAAAACCTTCAAAAACTGTTTTGTCAAGACATAAAAATTGCAAGAAAAAAGCAAAAAAGATCCCGAACAAAATAACCTGCATCATCAGAAATTTTACATGGAGCTTTCGGAAAGCTAGAAAGAAGTCGAACTTTCAAAAAAGTCGTTCTGCAGGGACAAACCGGCAAAAATAAGCAGACAGGCAAAAATCTAAAAAGCCAATATTTCAGTTTAAAAAAACAGATTCAGACTAGAATCGAACTCCAGGTCCTCGTTGGCAAGCATGGGCGTTGAAGCAACTGAGAAAAAAGCTGAATCGTCAGTAAAAAATTGCGCTACGGGAATTAGGTCGACAAAATGTATATGGTTTTCAATGCGTCTTCGGCGTTTTGAAGACCACACTTAGGCTTGTTGGCTGGTTACTGCCACATGGGCTCAGTTGGATGTCTACTGACCGTTTAGCCCTCAATGAGCTCTGCTGATGTTAGAGAGGTTTCAAGGGATGGGACACAGTTAGTAGAAGCAGTAACCGTAAAGGGAACAAGTTCAAGTTTTGTTTATGAAACCGAATAGGGGTACCTACGACTAGCGAGTTTCAGAAATTATAGGTGATGAATTTGAACTAACTTCTTCTTTAATTTGGTTTTATACCGACTACGATTGAACAATCACTTTAAATACTGATACAGAGCTTGGACTTTATGTCAATAACCTGTCTAGACAATGCCTTAAATCTGCTGCTTTGTTTATTCAAACTTGAGTATTTTTTTTCCAATATTTTCTTTTATGTTTTCAGATTTATACATTTTTCCTTGTCTTTGAAGATCACAAATTTGTCTTTCGTTTGATAAAACGGGCAGTGCTGTGTAACCAAATTGGGTTCGTTAACTGTCCCCTCACTGTTTCTGGTGCTTCATATTTAAATTCTCGTTGTATGCAAATTTACCATTAACAATGAAAATAAATTCTTTCTTTCTTTAAAAATAAGCAGACGGATGATAGTCCGAGCAAGCACTAAACTGCAAAAAAAACAGTTCCTCGCCAGAGTCGAACCACAAGCCTTTGTCTTCTAAATCTCTGTGTGCGTTATCTCTGCGCCACATGCGCCAGGTAGTTAACTGAATTTAAAATAAAGGAATTATATGAGTGAGTTCAGGAACCAGGAGGTGAGTCCTGTAAAGAAAGATATTTACGGGGAAAAAGTCTAGTACCCGATTGCAATACCCTTGCTTATCGCGAGGGTAATAACCAAAAATCACAAAAAAAAACAGACTCCGACGAAATGTTGTGGCACTTCCACAGCAAGCGGCTTTCTTTGTCTACTTTTCAATAAAAGCACTAATTTTCGAAAATGAACAGCTATCATTAGAACAGAAATCCAAATCTGTATTTACACACAAGACACCATTTCTTACACATGTGGAAAAAACAGGATCTGTAAATCAATGCCATATATGTAAATCAACAGGATAAGTCGAAAAACCATGAGAAAAAGATAATGATACGACCTGACTGCCGTGGCAACTATTGAAGAATTATAATGAAAATCAAACAAAACAACCGAAAAATCCAAAAAATAGTCGGTTGCAAAAGCAAAATTCCCAATTATAGCAGCAAAAATGATGAGAAACTAACATCTTCTGTGAGCAGCGCTGGCTGGTATCGGCAACGAAAAACCCGGTTACGGTACCCTACATGTCCATACATTCAGCAGTACATACCTGTGAAAAAAGAATCCTCAAAAACAAAAGTTTCATTAACTTCAGTTATGCAAGTAAATCAATCACAACTTTATCAAAAAGAGCACCAGTAATATTTATAAACAATGATAGTCGGTTGCTGTGCAAGTAGCACCGAATGTTCCGAACATATTTTAGAAAAAAAAACTAAAACAAATTTTCTTTATTAATTTAGTGATGTTTTTTTTGTGCGAGGTTTAATATGAAAAGATTGAAAAAAAGACTAAAACTTAGGCAAACATATTCGACACTCTGAGGGAAAATGGCAAGATAGACAAAAGCTTTAGTCGGAAAATGACAAGAAAAACAAAAAAACTTACAAAAATGTTGTTGCTGATTTTTTTTCTAATGTTTGATTCCCAAAATGGCGCTTAAGACTTCACAAACCTGATTTATTAGTGTTGCTTTGAAGTTTCAGTGCTTGAATTGATTTTTACGGCTTATCCTTCTATAAAAGCCTTTTTACGAGTGCTCGCTCGCGTTATTCGCTCGAAACAAGACTAGAAACAAAAAACTTCAAATCGGTTTTTCTCGACATTGAGGAAAATTTTTGAAAATTTCTAATGTCGTTCGAATTGCCACTGATGGGGCTTTCATATAATATATCACTCAACCCAGTCCGATGATTATTTATGGTACTTGATTTTCCGTGGAAAACAAAAAGAAAAAAGAACTAAAACACAGCCGAATACAAAGTTCCACCCCATTTTCAATGGTCGGAGCGGAGCTAAACACAACTTGCGATAGCACATAAAATATAATTTCAAGCTAGCAGATAGGAAAGAAAAGGAAAGGCACTGAATCCGAAAAAAAACAATTGCGAACTTCGAAAAGTAGAACAAATTCAAAATGTTGACTGGAATGAGTTTATATTTAAAGAAAACACGTCAAGAAATAAAATCAACGGCGCTTAGCAAAAATTCAAAAACAATTATCATGCGGCAACTGAGCCGAAAAAAAACTTGAGTGTATTCCCATAGCACCAAAATTCAAAATTTTTAGCATTTTATGAGCTTCAGAAGGGAGTATAGAATTATGCTCTCCTTGAAACTACACAAAAAACTACACAAAATTAGACCACTACGCCGATAAAATAGATGCCGTTATCATGACGTTAAGAGATGAACAAAGATACCAAGTGATTCAGCTAAACAAGTTGCTAGCCCGAAAAAACCAGCGTAAAAAAAACTTATATTTCGAAAAAGTTATTATTTTGGCTCACATTTCTTGCTGTTCGTATTTAATTTAAATTCTGCTTTGACACACCAAAAACATAAAAAACTAAAATTTCAATTATTTTTATCAATTTCTATTGAAAGACTCTTCTAAGTTATTCAAAGAAACTTAGTTAATGTTGAATCTAAATAGTTCTATACTCACTTTTACTGATTAGTTCGGTCAATTTTCGATACAGTTCGAAAATAATACAGCAGCAGACGAAAAAAAAAACAAAGCCATTGAAAAATTTTCGAAATTCGGAGGAAAAAAAAACATTACTGTTCTTTGAATATTAACAATTTAGGGAAAACTCAAACAATTGGTACTTTTTTATTCTGCTGGAAAATCAGAAAACTAAAGTGCTTTGTAAAACTAAAAGTCATTCAAAATCTTCGTAGCCTTTGCACTTTTGCTGTTTGATAGTGGATTTTGCCTTAAGAAAGAAAATGAACTGAACTCGAAAAGAAAGCAAAAAAAACCGCCAAAACTCAAATTTGAGCTCGAACAAATTTCAAGACTTTTCCTGAAAAATCTCAGCACGACCTGTATAAGTGAAAACTACTTCGTAAGTGAAAACTACCTGAAAAAAAGAACAGTCAAACCTTTAATACACCAAAACTTGAGGTATTCAGACACCGAAACTTGGGTAAACTTCCATTGAGCGGCAAACGAAACTATTGTCATGCATTAAAAAATTCCGAAATTCCAAGATGTTTATTCTACTCTTTTTGCTACGGTGCGTAAAATTTCTGTTTGATTCAATGAAAAACAACATCAAATTTAGTCACATAGCCGACAAAACATGAGCCGAAACTATTGAAGCTTTTAAGTGAAAAAAAAAGATAAACGGCAAGTATAATAAACTAGGGCTAGTAAATTTACAAACAACACGATAGAACCAAAACAATTGCACAACAAAAAAAATTGCTTACGACAACACATCAAACAATAAGCCGACAACTTTTACACAGAGGCGGAGCTGGGCTTCACAAGCACTGGCGAGAACGCCCAAAAAGCAGCTCTAGAAAAAAAAAGAAATAAGCCTCAAATTAGCAAAAACTCGGCTAGGTCTAGGATTCGATCTGCGACATACTGCAGTCAAGATATTTTGAGTCTCACGCATTATCCACTCAGCC